AGGATCAATAGCAGCCACCTTCCAGATGAAACAGTCTGACCAAGACAGCAAGAGGGCCGGGTTCCCCTTGTCTTTATCTGTGAGTGCTCCTTCCAATAAAGGCCCAGATACGACCCCCATGCCCCCATGCATGTACACACACTGGTTCCTTTTCCAGGATCAAAATAAAAACATGATAGTTACTTTAGCTTTTACAGAAAAACAAAACCAAACCAAAAACCAAAACTCTAGGCCATGAGATTGCCTTGAGCCAGGACACAGGGGAAAGGTACCACAAAGCAATCCATGACAAGCCTGTGCCACAAAACTGAGACTATGAGGTATGATCAACATGAGCAAGATTTCGCTCTGTATAAATGATTATCTGCTCAGGAAAATCCGAAGGATCTTTTCACTGAGGATGGGAGGAGCCGGACATACCAACTAGCTATCTTTTCCCGGAGGCACTGGGAGGCTGGGATTGAGAGGAGGGCAGCCTGCACAGCACTGCAAACAAGAAAACCAACCAGGAGACTTGGAAGGACCATGGCACGCTAGGTGCCTGTGCAAGAGGAAACAATGTGGGCGAGGGGGTTTAACTCAGATTGTAGGGTGCCTGCCTAGTGTGCTGGAGTCCCAGGATTCAATCCTGCAGCATTGCCCAAACGAGGCATGGCGGTACATACTTGTCTTCCAAATACTCAGGAGGTGGAGACAGGAAAAATCAGAAGTTCGAGTCCGTCCTTGGGTACACAGAGAACTTAAGGCCAGCCTGGGTTACATGAAACTCTATCAATAATAATAATAATAATAATAATAATAATATAAAAAATAAGAAGCTTGAGTTTATCGGATCTTTTCTGTCAGATTGGGACAAAGTAGATCAAATTTCCTTATCTGAAGAATAGTGATGATATTAGCACCCGTGTTATAGGGTGACCATCTATGGTGGTGTTTACTTTGCTAGAACAAAAAGAATATGTAACTCCAGAACAGACTAGCTAAACGATGCATATGCTCAGTCACTCAGCAAATATAGACTTATAGAGAGAGGACCCAGGGAGGGAACAAAGCTCCCTCCTTGTCCTTCTAGAGTGAGGCAGCATAGATTTCAGGTTAGCTCCTCTAAGAGTTTTAAATGAGTCATGTCAGCCACCTCTCATAGATACTGATACATGGAAGAGTCAAAGGGAAGAAATAAAGAAGAAGAGGAGAGAAGAAGGGAAGGAAAAGAGACAAAAGGAAGGAAGGGAGGGATAAAAACAGGAAGGAATGTGTGTAATAAAGGAATGTGTGACCCCGGGAACTTATGATGAAGAAATTGCCTTGAAGGAAAATTAATACCAAATACAATGGAACCATGGCCAGTGCGTTGGCTACACATGATCAAAGCACTACATCGTATGCAACAATGGAAAATAAGAGCGACATCTCCTTCTAGGTCAGGGTCTCCGAAAATGACACAGCCCCAAAGGAAAAGCAAAAATGTAGGAGGGCTATCTTGCTGTTATTGAAATCTTAACGGAAGTGGTCCTCAAGATTTATTTCACTACCTTTATGTACACAAAATGCCGTGTGGTTTGCGCCGAGGGCACTGCTCACCCTGTTACCTTTGCAGGGGTCAAAGAAATGAGTCTATCTGTGAATCAGGGTTTGCGTAGGCAGCGCTCATGCGGGCGGACGTCTTAAACCACCAGTGCTCTCACTTTGAGGTGGACCTGGCTTCGCTTGGAGTTGTCATGCCATTCCCCAGTTCCCTCTGTTGCTGGCAAACAATTGCGGCACAACATCCTCATATCTCTTGGCTCCTGTGTTTCTGAAACATGCAATTCTGGGGGATGTCGGCTAAGGAAAGGCAGGGCACAAGCAGCCTGGCCAGAGCTGTAACAACGAGCAAATAGATCCTGGCTTCAAAGCTGCTGCAGCACAGTAGTGGGACAATTTGTGAAGACCCTGCCCATAGGACAGCTCTTGGCCTAGATTTTGTTGCAAATGTACCAGCATAAGAAACTGTCTGATGATCTTCCTGGCTCATTTGCTAGAACCCTCCGGACAAGGACACCTGAGTGGTGATTCTGCCAAAGCCAAACGTGTGTTTATTACAAAGGAGATGACTGAACTTTTGGGCAGCCGGGACCCTGAACTCATCTATTCACTCACTCGGTGAATATCTATTAAGCACCCAAGTGCCAGTGCCTGTTCAGAGAGCTAGGTCTCAAAGGTAGAAACAAGAAAGGAACTCTCTTAAGTAGCTTTCGGTCTAGAATGCGTTGGAGAGTGGCATTCGGTTTTGCACACAAAATCCCGGTCCACTTTCTTCTCGTAGTGTAATTTCACTGGGGTTCTGCTTCCTTATCTGCTATGCACTTTCAACAACAGGACCTGCACCCGAAGCCCTCTGTGAGAACTGATGAGTTAGCAACCCCGGAGCAAAGCATGTGTGTGCTCACGGTGCTTAAAACACCTAAGGGATGTTTAGCCACTAGAATTTTAATCAAGGTGGAAGCTCCAGCCTTTGCTTGCTTATGAATGAAGCAATGGTGTAATTCAGTGTCGCAGACATTCAAGTTCACAGGAAAATTCCAAGGCCCGGTCCATGTCCTTTTGTCATTCTATAATACAGTATCTGAGACCGGGTTGTTTCTACTCATGATCCAAGATCAAGGCAACAATAGGGTCTACTCCTCTGCTTTCACAATGATACACTATCCTCTACAGGGGAACATTTTGTGTCCTTGTGTGGTGGAAGGGGTGGAGAGGGGTAACTGCTTATGTCAAACTGTTTTGAATGCACCTAATTTATTTTCATGGTGCAGTCATCTTCTAAAGGCCATGCCTCTTACTACTCTTTGCATTGGAGATTAAGTTCCAACACATAAAGTCCCAAGAAAATCAAAACACATCAGCCTCTGTGACAAGCAGATGGTGTAGCCAGAAGTTTCTGTCTCACCCAGTCCTGCAGCCAATCAGTCCCAAATAAACACACAGATGCTATCTTAATTATAAACTGATTGGCCTATGGCTCAGGCTTCTTATCAGCTAGCTCTCTCTTAATTATTAACCCATTTCTATTAATCTGTGTATCTCCATGTGGTCTTGGCTGACCAGTGATGCCCAGGGCCCTTTCTCTCACAGCATCTCTCTGGCGACTCACTCACTACACTCCTCTTCCCAGAATCCTCCTGCCTGGTTACATCCTGCCTATCCATAGACCAAAACAGCTTTATTAATAAAAAAAATAAGAAAAACATATTTTCACAGCATACAGAAGGATATTTCCCTTCAAGATGGGTTCAGGGTAAGGTATAAGATCAGTCCACATCTTTGGACTTTCTGGTCCCTGCTACATCCATGCCCTCATCTGTATCCTGCCAATGGGATTACCAAACCCATTAATGGCCAACAACAAATGCTGAACAGGTACCTCTTGACAGCTTAAATTTCTTTGCGCTTATCAGCAGTCAGTAAGCCTTTTAAAATACAAACATAACACACAAATCAAGAAGCGTGCACTGTATCGGTTTACTGTAATTGGAAAGTTTTTTTTTTTTTTTAACCTTTTACAAATTGCGTTTTTCAAGCAAATGCAGAAACTATATTTACATTTGCAATTACGGCATACACAAATTCACTTGCTAAGTTGTAACATGTTAACTGTATCTGGACATCCGGGTATGAAGGGTCGGGTCAATCTTACTCGACACCAGGCATGCATTGTAGAAAGGACTCCTGTAGGTTTTACAGTGAAAAGGTGGTGAGCATGGTCAGTGGGGAAGTGGGCAGACACAGTGGGTGGTATGTTTAGGAAATAAAACTGTAGGAAGTTGAGTGACTATAGAGCTATGATTTAAAAGGCTGTAATTTAATGGTAACAACTAATCTATATGGAGCCTGTTTTTAAAAAAAAAATGTGTCTTAAGTTCTTAAAACAATAATTAAAAAAAAAGTCAGTCCAGGAGATCTTATTTAACCTTCAAGCTCCACAGGTTTTTGCTTTGTTTATTTGTGGGGTTTTTTTTTTTAATTTTGTTTTGTTGTTGCTGTTTTGGATTTTCTTGCGTGGGGTAGTATTATGTGTCTTACAGACACAGGACAGACGCTAAGACCGTTTCAGGTCACATCTTTATTAAATGTAGCCCGTGAAGGGACTCTAGCACAACTGCTCTGGCAGGCCTTGCCTTTCTCCCTGATTCCACCGCCTTGCTAAAAACTATCACATCACATTCCTAAAGTTAGCCACCAAGGTCTATTCCTTATCTGGCCACTTCTTTCTCCTGAAACTGACTACCAAGGTCCAGCTAATGAAGCATTGAAGGGCAGCAATCAGAACCCCCTTTGGGTTCACCTAATTAACATTCCGTTTAAATTATATACCTCATCCTCACGCGGGCTTCCCCCTTTACCTCTATGAACTGTCACTGGCCTCTGTGTCCTTTCTACCCAGAGGCTGTCCTTTGTCCCTCTGGGACAAAACCCCCTGCCCTCCCCCCCAGTCCCTTTCCCTGTCTCCTACCTCCTAGCACGTTCTAACACAGATCTCACCTTCTCTTAAAAATGACACCTGCAAGGTCATTAGCGGCTGTTTTTTCTGCGTGAGTTAGGAAGCAGCCGCTTTAACTTTTCTTCCCCAATTAATAATCTCTCTGTGAAAGCAGGTGTTTGGGTGTGGCTTGTGCTCAATCCGGGGGAACCCCGCTGTGTGGGAGTTCCCTTCCGAGGGGTTCAAATGCAGCCTTCCTGGCTCTGCACCAGTCAAGACCCGACCAGGAAGGGAGGAAGAGCTCCCTGGGAATGTTTGATCTGAGCGGGGATCGAGGATCAGGATTAGGTCAGGATCAGTGGCGCCCCACCTCCCCTTCTTTCTGCTTCTCTTTGGGGGTCAGGAAACTCGGCGCCGCCTGACCTCCTGCGGCCACCATAGAAGCCCCGTTGCCATGGCTTCGGGATTGCGTCCAGGCGCAGAGGCGGAGGCGCTGCTGTGAGGGCAGAAGGGAATCCTGCGGGTCCCTGGATTTCCCTGACCAGTGATCCAGAAAAGCGCCATGGGCCTGAGTAAGCGACTTCCACCCCAGCCCCTGGCACCCCCTCCCCACTTCCCGCCGGCGGGACCAGCCTTCGGTGCCTAGGCTGCACCAGGCCCTCTGAGTTCTGCCCAGGAGCCCCCAGGTCCTCTCGGGGTCGCTTAGGACCCTTGAAGCCCCACCATGACCTCTCATAGTCACCTAGTTCCCGCTAAATCCTCCCAGGTTCCTTCGAGTCCCTTAGGTGGCATCAAGTTCGAGTCCCCTTGGGTGCTCGCCTTGCGCTCCACCTCCACCAGCAGCGCCATAGAGAGGGGGTTCAGGAAGACCTTGTGGGCTAGACTGTGAAGTCCTGGGTCATGCCATCTGTGTGCCGCCTCCTCGCTAGGGAAGACATGGCTCTGCCTAAAGCAGGAGGGCACCCACCAGTTCCAGAGCCGCGGTTTGACGCACGCCCTTCCCCAGGATCACCCTAAGAGCTCTATAGCTTTGCTCTGGGACCCGACCCTTGAGCTTCAGCTTCCTCACTCCCACAACTAAGTTTTATTAGATAGACTTAGTAAGTGTTTATTTGAAAACGATCTCAAGTGTCTGCAAGATGATGGGTGAGCGGGTATTTTTAGATTAGATTGCGGCATTCCTGTTATCAAGACTTTCTTGATGCTGACAAATGACATTTGCATACAGCTCCATTTAACATGACAGTCATAACACTTGTGTATATGGTGTGTGTGTGTGTGTGTGTGTGTGTGTGTGTGCATGCATGAGAGAGAAAGATGGAGGGAGAGAGAGAGAGAGCACATGTGTGTGCACGTGGAGTCAGGAGGTTGGCATCTCCTGTCTTCTCCAGTTGATTTAACCTTATTATTATTATTTTTTTTTAATGTGGGGAATCTCTCACTGGAAACAGAGCTCCCATATTCAGCAAAACTGGTTGGTTGATGAGCTAGAGGGATCTGCCTGTCTCTGCCTCCCCAGTGTCAGGACGATAGATAACCCACAATGGTTACTGGTGATCAGGACTCATGGCCTTATGCCTTACCCGCTTCGTCATCGCCTCATCCTCCGTAATTAGTATGTTTAATCAAGAGTCTGGACTTGGGGCTGGGATATAGTTTAGTAGTAGAGCATTAGGAAGCCTCATGGAGAAAAGAGAAGGAGGAAAGATGTTGAGAGGGAGGGAGAAAGGAAGGCTAGATAGAATGGAGAGAGAGGGAGAGAGGAAGAAAGGGAGGGAGAGAGAGGGAGGGGGAGAGAGAGAGAGGAAGGGAGAGAGAGAGGGACAGAGATGGAGGGAGAGAGAGGGAATATGTGAATAGGATGGTGGGGTTTCTTTCTGCTTTGTAAATCTCCAGGATGTCACCTTTCCTAATGTTCAGTTGAGAAGCTGCCGGGCTCTCTTCTGGCACCTAACTGAAAGAGTGTGAACTTAAGTAAAACCCAGACAGTGAGGTGCATGACAAACCCTCCCACAGGTGTTTGCCTGTGCCAGGCCAGGTCCAGATACTTTCCATGCATTTTTTTCTTCTGTCTCAGCAATGTTCCAAGACAGGGAACAGTGACCAGTTCATCCACTTTTAGGGGAGGTGGCTGAGGTAGAGCTGAGAACCACCCTGACAGACAGCCAGTCCCACGAACCAAGGCAGAGTGGAGAGATGCGGAGATTTGAGAGTTTCTAGTGCATGTTCTCTTCCTCTGTGCTGAGGTGATCTTAGAAGAGGTATTCTGTAGGTGGAGGTTTCTGTCCTCCCTGGTCCCAAATAAACACAGAGGCTTCTGTTCATTACAAACTGTTTGGCCGATGGCTTATGCTTCGTACTAGTGAGTTCTCTCCTAATTATTAACCCATTTCTATTTATCTATGCGTTTCCACATGGCCTTATGTTAAGAGAGAATGCCAGGGTGTCCTACCTTCCCAGTAGCTACTGGCATCTCTCTGCTGGCTCCTCTCTGACTTCCTCTTCCAGCATTTGCCTAGTCTGGTAGCCTTGTCTGTACTTCCTGCCTGGCCACGTCCTGCCTGTCCATTGACTGAGACAGCTTTACTCATCAGTAAAAGAAGCATATATTCACAGCATACAGAAGGGCAGCCTCCATCAGTGTTCTCACTTGAGGAATTGCCTCTATTTGGTTGATCTACAGGCAATTCTGTGGGGGTATTTTCTCCATTAATGTCTGATATGACAATGGCTAGCCCGCTGTGGACAGGACCACCTGTACTCGGGTAGTCCTGAGTTGTGTGAGAAAGCCAACTGAGCAACCCATGGAAAGCAAGTTAGTAAGCATTGTTCCTCCATGTCTTCTGTTTCAGCTCCTACCTTTGGGTTCCTGCGTCAAGCTCCTGGTCTGACTTCCCTCAGTGGCAGAGCATGATCTGGGGGATGTAAGATGAAATAAACACTTTAGGTTACATTTTGTGTTTATCACAGCAACAGGAAGCAAATTTAGGACACCCATGCTCTCCCTTGATTAGCTTTGTGCTTGACAGCATTCCTTCAGTTCCCTTGAAGACTTCATTGGAGACAGCATTTTTTTTTCCCTAAGTGGTTGGTAGGGTTTATCTGTGGGAACATCTGTGCCTAATTTCTCTTTGCTAGAAGACTTGTTACTCCATATCTAGCTACTTGAGATGAGCCACAGCTCTTTAATCTGCCCTTGTCTTTCTTGAGAGAGCTTGACAGTTTTCATCTCGTCAAACAATTTGCCCATTTAACATACAGTCTTGAATTTAATATCATAGTGATATTTACAATATCCTCCATACCCTTTAAGGTTTATTATGTCATTTTCTGAATTCACTAGCTTTGATACTTACTGATTTCCACCCTTGATTTCTATATCATTTGGTTTCTGTCAGAATCTGTGTTACTTACTTTGTTCTACTTTGAATTTGATTTGCCCTCTTCCCCAAATCTTATACTGGAAGCTGATGTCTCTGCTCTGTATCTTTCTTCCCATGAACATTCAGTGCTATAAATTTCCCTCCCAGAGATGCCCTAGCTGTGTCTCCAATGAGGCCATTCTACTCAAGATACAAATTAACCTTCTTTGTTTTGTTGTTTATTGATGTCATATTTTAAAAGTAATACTTTCATATATTATGTCTGTAGTTTCATTGGTGGAGTCTGGGAGTATGAATTCTAACCTAGGACTCCATCAATCCTGGAAGCTGGAGTCTGTCACTCTTTTATGAGTTAGCCACACCAATCACCTTTAAAGGTATCACTGGATTAGGGACCAATATGTGTCCTGATGGCCCATAAGTATGTAAGAAAAAGAAGCATGTGTTATCTTAGAGATGCTATCTTCTAAATAGAAAAATATTTAGATACTATGACAGGTAAACTACATATTTGTAATCTCGTGTTTCCATTAAATATCTTTTATTTCATGTATATAATATACATGTGTGCCCATATGTGTATTTGCAAGGTTTTTCAAGATGTTTGAAAAATCTGTGAAATCTGCTCTGAACATATTGGTTGATATTAGTGTAATCCGGCAAGAAAGGTAGAGCTGTTTTCAAAACATCATATAAGACCTGAAGGAATGATCTGGGTGTGATGGTAGAATCCCAGCCCCTACTTGAGAGGCTGAAGCAGGAGGATTGCCTTGAGTTGAGCTGCATAATGAGCTCCAGTCTAGGCTGCAACATGAGACTCCAAGTCAGCAAATAGCAAATCCTGAAAGATAAGTGCAAAATCATTGGCTTTGGAATTTTGTTAAATTTTACTGAGTACCTGGAAAATCTTGCAGAAGTAAACATATTGGGACATGCTCTCATAACTCAGAAACTTTATTCTATTGCACATGGTTCTGTGGTGTGTGTGTGTGTGTGTGTGTGTGTGTGTACATGTTTGTATGTATTCATGCATGTGTGCATGTGTGTGTGTACATGTATGTATGTATGAGTACAGGTGTGTGTGGGGTGTACATGATTGTATTTGTGAGTGCATGTGTGTACTGTTCGTATGTTTGAATGCAGGTGTGTGTCTGTGTACAGGTGTACATGTTTGTATGTGTAAGTGCAGGTGTGTGTTTGTATACATGTGTTCATGTTTGTGTGTGTGTATGAGTGCTGGTATGTGTGTATATGTGTTCATGTTTGTATGTGTAAGTGCTAGTATGTGTGTGTGTACATGATTATGTGTGTGAGTTCAGGTGTGTGTACATGTGTATGTATGTGTATATGAGTGCAGGTGTGTGTGTATATGTTTGTATGTGTAAGTGCTGGTGTGTGTGTACATGTGTACATGTTTATGTGTGTGAGTTCAGGTGTGTGTACATGTGTATGTATGTTTGTATATATGAGTGCAGGTGTGTGTGTATATGTTTGTATGTGTAAGTGCTGGTGTGTGTGTACATGTGTACATGTCTGTGTGAGTGCAGGTGTGTGTGTATATGTTTGTATGTGTGAGTGTAGGTGTGTGTGTACATGTGTACATGTTTATGTGTGTGAGTGTATGCATGTGTACATGTTTGTATGTGTGAGTATAGGTGTGTGTATGTCATATCATGTTGCTCCGATGTCTTCCACTTTGTTGAAGCCAGGGCATCTTTGTTGTTTGTCAGGCCAGCTGGCCTGTGAGTTTCCAGGGCTTCCCTTGTGTCCATGCCCATCTTGCTGTAGGAACAGATTACAGACATGTACTATTTCGTGTGAGTTCTAGGGATTCTAACGCAGGTCCTCATGCTTCCATAACATGCATTTTACCCACTAAGCTTCCCTCTCAGGCTGCACAAGGTCATCGTGCAGATACACGTTACAGAATTAATAGGCCCGGGTGACTCATCAATGTTAGCACAGCCCTTGATTCCTCAGAGCCGCGCTTCAATGAGATGGGCATGTCAGAGCTCCTAGTACCCTTCTCTGGTCTCTCATTCCTGCAGCCGAGAGGTACTGGCTAGCCCCTGCTTTCAACAGGACATTTTCCTGTTCTGTCTGAGTTTTCTATTTCGTTACTTGTGGTTTTCTGAATGAGAAAGCGAAAGCAGGTTTTCACGTGCTATGTTCCCTGTACCATTCGATAAGTTGCAGCACCATTGCATTGCAACTGTTGTGTGATGAGCTTCTAATGCTACTGAGGAACTTTTAGACTCTAGAATGAGCTCACGTAAGCCCAGTATCGTATTATTTGGTGTAGGACTTTCTGAAGGTGGGCAGTATTGCACGGAATTAGAGAATGCATGGGTAATACTAGGCGCTGTGTAAAATCACAAAATTCCTTCCTATTTAAAAGTGCAAAACACTGTCATCTCCATGTGCCATGTGGATACTCTTGACATCTCTTTTCAGGGGCTGGATCTAGATTTTACACTGATGCATGCCACTGGCGTTATGTAACGATTTCCCACGTGCCATAACATAGTGTGCCATGTAGCAGTTGGCCTTTTATAAACCTATTCAGAGTTTTGACTGGCTTCCTTCTTGTACTTGGAACCACAGCTGCTCAAAGTTTGTGAGTTCAACAACTTACCATGTCCGGAGATCAACAGTTTACAGTTTCCCCCTCCCATCCATCCATTCCAGCTCTTATATTCTATCTGTCCCCTTCTTCCATGACATTTCCCGAGTCCTGAATGGCCCTCCCAGTAGATGGCCCCAGAGCCGCGCCCATGTGGCTGGCACTTATTTGATACAAGGGGTTTCTTAATGACAAACTAAAAGGGTGTGAAGTTTTGAGGGAGAATTGGAGGTGGTGGCGGTGGTGGATGGATATGATCAAAATATATTATAAAATATATGAAATTTTCAGTGACTACATTAAAAAAGTTAGTTTTTAAAATAGTTCAAAAAAAGAAAAGGGCCACTAGGAAATTTCATATAATCACAGTTCTATCTGTTCAACCCTTCAAATAGTTGTAATACTGTACAGTAGTTGCTACTCAGAAACATAGGTGTTCTGAATGTAGCTGTGGGGCCCCTCCTCTCTGTGAGATTAGTTATCCACACTAAAGAGCTTCCATCACCCTGACCACTTACCCTGATAGTGATTCTTACCATTTCACTCTTAAGAAATAAGGATAAACATCACTTTCTTCCTAATGTCTAGCCACAATGCTGAAGGGGAAAATTTGACAATTACATGCTGACAGTCTATTTTGCTTACATAATAGCACTTTCTTATGTTGTGGGAGACGCAGCAAGAGCAAGAAATTTTTTTTTTTTTTTTTTTTTTTTTTTTTTTGGTATCAGTAGGAACTTTTCACCCATGCTCTAAGTCTTCAGGGCTGGAAAAAGTGTCAAGTCTTTGAGATACCAAAGCTGGAGGAGGCTGCCACGCCTTTAGCAGCAGCTGGATTATCTTGCTGGGCCATGGATCAGGAGATATATAAGATGCAGCATGGGTTCCCATGAGCACATCTGACTTGTCCATGAGTGGCAGCTCTGAGTGTTCAAACTAGTTAGGTTATGTATTTATGTGTATATTAAATGAAGCCTCCACCACATTCGGGGCACAGGATAAAGAATGGCCCATCAAGCTATAAACCAAACTGCTTAATAAAGTACATATACCTCCTTTGAGAAGTATATTTTCATACAACCCCAAAGGATGCACTTAGTATTGTGGGTCTTTGCTGGAGCATGGAGGCTCAGGGCGGCCTGCCCTCTGGCTTGCTTCCCACTCCTCTTCCTTTCCTGTCTGCATTTCCTGTTCCTCCTCCACCCCACACTCACTACATCCATGTCATCCATGTATCTGGCAAACAGATGCTCCTTGGAAGCAATGGCTGTTGGGGTTGCAAACCCTGTGACTTAGTTTAGTTTAGAAAGGATCCTGGGAAGCGACTAATGAGGAGCTTAGGAGCAGGTTTGGGACTTCTTGGGTAAGGAACCTCATTGTCCCCTCCCTAGGCGTGGTTCAAAAGCAGGGCATAATTTCTGGGTGGGGACGCCCTCCAACAACCCATCCTTTCATGTGGATTTGGTAGTCTAAGTCACAGATACACCATCAGGCATTTGAGAGTCTAGTCAGTGGTGGCGAGTAATTCTCACATCTCATTAAAATAGCTCTGATAATATTGGTCATGCCTGTCATCCCATAAATTGCATGTTTGCTAAGGGAATGTTTGTATATTACAGATAGTGATGATTTTAATTTATACAACTGACTTGTTATAGTCTCAACTCGGCTGCCACTGCTTATGCATTGTCCATTGATTCAAGTTATTGAACAAACGTGGTGGGTGACTGAGGGTGTAATTTCATGGATCACATGCCTTGTGGCAGATGCCCAGGTTTGATCCCTACCACAAAATACAAAACAACAACAACAACAATAAACAAAACACAAAACACACAGAAACAAGCAAAATAGCCCAACTTGATGTACGTGTGTGTGTGTGTGTGTGTGTGTGTGTATGTGTGTGTGTGTGTGTGTCCAGCAGGAGGATAAGTTTAATATCATCCCATTTTAATGTTTGGTTACTTAGAAGATTTTCTTTTTGGTGCTGTTGCTTTTATTTTCTGGTTCTTTTTTCTTAAATAGCGTGTGCAAGCTGGCTTATAAATGAGCAGTGACATTCCAGACATAGCAGAAGGATCCAGCCAGCCAGAGCTGGTCAGGCTGCCCCCTAAGGCTCCTTTGGGATCTTTGGCCCATCTTGACCAGGACTGAGTTTGCAGCCGTCTCTGCCTGGCAGCTGAGGCGGCTCTTAGAGCAGCAGGAACAGTCATTGAGTGTAGTGTGGTAACCTCTCAATCTCCTTCCCCATGCCATTCTAAGGAAGTGTCGTCTCAAGCCGCCTCATCTGCTCCCTCCCATTGGAAGGAGCAGAGAGTTCTGCACACCGCAGATGAGCTGTGGAGTTCAGGCCTGTCTTTAGCTTTCACAACCAAGACCTGAACTGGTTATGGGAACTCTGTGCTTCCGTTCCTCTCCTGATGAGGGTAAACCATGTGTCTACACATCACTACTTTAAATAACTCAAAGCATGTAGACTAGTGCCTGGTACATTATAGATGACAGCAAATATGTTTTCATTTACATATACTAATGAGAAATGTAAGGTGGGATCGAATTTTTTTAAAAAAAAAATTACTAACCTTGGAAATGCAGAATGTCTCCATGATTGCTGCCTGTTTGCTACCAGCTCACCTTATAAATATGATTCATGAGTTTGCTCCTCGATTCCACAGTGGACCATTGTTTCCATTCTCTTGGTGCTATTATTATTACGTTCCCCTCATTCGGCGGTCGGTGCTACACTTCATTTTTAGTGAGAGATGGGAACTCCCTCTCAGTTTTGTTCTTCCCATAAACCCTTCCTCCCTTCCTTCCTCCCTTCCTTCCTTCCTTCTTTCCTCCCTCCCTCCCTCCCTTCCTTCCTCCTTCCTCCCTTCCTTCCTTCCTTCCTTCCTCTCTCTCTCTCTCTCCCTTCCTCTTTCTCTCCTTTATTCCTTTTATATAGAGCCAGTTTATACATCTGCAATGCAAGATCCATAATGTGGGTTGTTCTTTGCTTTCTCTGAATCTCTAGATGATCAATTATTTGTTAAATGATGAGCAGCCTTCCTTATCGGATGGTAGAAATTTGCTCTGTCCTCTCCTTTGTCAGTAGGATTGTGACTCAGTTCCTCTGTCTCAAGTCCAATAGTGGATCTCACCAGTTTGGTCTGGTTTCACCAGGAGAGCTTATATTCATATTCTTACAGCTGTCGACTGTCAATTCCTCCTCCACCAATGCAGCAAAAGTTACATAGCTCTTACACATACAAGTATAAGCTAGACTTCAGGTTCTATTGCATCTCCTCTCTTTGTCTTATACCACGGCTTGGCACAGGCTCCATGAAGTGGGTAGCAAGCAGCATTTGTCTGACCTCACTGTGTGAAAGTTGCTTGGGCCCAAAGAATCAACACTTAGCTGCAAAGAAACTCCAGCCTGTCAATAATACAATAACCCGACGCTGAACAATGGAAATGGGAACATAATGTGCTGCAACATCTCTTCCAGTCACTGAAGATCTTATTAGACGGAATGCTGAGCACAACGACTGTGTAATTTTTTCCCTGGAGGAACTTTCCTTGCATCAGCAAGAAATAGAAAAACTAGAACATCTCGACAAATGGTGCCGGGACTTAAAAATCCTCTATCTTCAAAACAACCTCATTGGAAAAATTGGTAAGTCTCGCTCATTTGTTTCATGACTTTTTGGGTTGGGGAGCTTTGGAAAATAACTGAACAAGAAGGTCACAGGGAAAGAGACACAGCCACCTCTCAACAGCTGCTTGCAGAATATTCCCCAGGCCTTTCCTGTGTAGCTGGCCGTGGTGACCAGAGGAATGCTGTCATGAAACTGGAAACAGAGTTAAGTGTGCACATGTTCTCCTACCGGCTTTCACAGGAGATGGACATGAATCACACATTTGCCATGGCTGTATATCTCTCTGTAAAACCGGGCACTGACATGTTGAGGCAATAACTACAAGGCAGAGCGACACACACACACACACACACACACACACACACACACACACACACACACACACACACACACAGGGAACGCCCCAGAGTCCATTCCCAGTGACACACCTCCTCCAACAAGGCCACACCCCCTTCCCCTCCCATCCTTCTCAAACATTTCCACCAACTGAGGATCAACTATTCAAACACATGAGCCATTCTTAGTGAAACCACGAAACTGATGAACCTCTTTGCAGAACTGCAGCACAGACTAGTGGGGAGATGGATTTACTAGCACTGCCCTCAAAGTAAACCTCTCGGCTACAGGCCAAGCAGAGCACCCATAAGTTCCCCCCATCAAGCAATCTTGTGCCTTATGGCAGGAAGGACCTGGGTCCTATGTTCTCTGATAGGGGCATCCTAGAAGGAAGGGAGGAAGAAAGGAAGAGAGGGAGGGAGGTAAGAAGGGAAGGAGGGAGAGAAGGAAGGAGGGAGGGAGGGAGGGAGGATGGAGAGACTTAGCCTGCCCAGTTTCTTCTCCCAATTTACCCCTTGGACAAATTGGTATTTCCCTGGCCCCTGAATCCCTCCTTGCCCTAACAATGAATTAAGTGGCAGATACAAAGATGGTCTAGAGAGCCGTTTAATGGGGTTCTGCCACACAGGGGACCCACTTCTTGTTGGAGCAGCTCTGCCTTCGTGGTAAAAGCACACATGGGCTGTGGCATCGGGTCGTCTTGTCTTCGAACCCTTCCTCCGTCACTCAATTGTGAGCCGGGTGAAGAGAAATCAGCTAAGCTGACCGAGACTGAGTTGGGGTATTCATAAGACAGTGTTGAAGCACCTCAGAGTAAGGGGTGCAGGACGGCATGGGGTGCTGTAGGGCTTAATGCACTATCAGTGAAATAAGAGTTTAGCGGGTGAAAGCTGCCGCGCTACTAACATCACTGCTTAGCCCGGGCTGTCTCGGGCAGCCGAGCGAAGCCAGAGGCTGAAGAGAGCAGTGAATAGAATTGGAGGAATTGATGGAGTGAGTTGAGAGAGCCAGTGCTACTGCTGGAGAATGGGGGATAGCATGGAGTTAACCCTTGAGGGATGTGCATGTGCAGTGGTTCTCAACAGGGCGGACAGTTTTGGTTATGACAGGTGTGTGTGTGTGTGTGTGTGTGTGTGTGTGTGTGTGTGTGTGTGTGTGCTGGAGGTGTGTAAGCTACTGGCCCTACTCAGAGGATGTCAGGGACATGACTGCACAGGACAAAGAATTATCCAGCTCAAAATGTGAACGTTACTGAGGCTGAGAAACCCTAGCAGCATGGGTGCCTCTGACTCTGGGTAATTGAAGGTTGGCTCTGGGACTATAAAAAGCTCAGATTTGCATCATTTTGCAAGATTTAGTAAAACTATGTATTTCTTCAGATAAATATTCTTGGCGTCCTTTGCCATACCAGGAACTGGAAACTCTGGTGGTTAGAAAAAAATCCACCAGCTTTTATTCGGGGGCTCTTTGAAGAACGCCGCTAATTGTATGGACCTCAAAGAGATCCTGAAATTTTCATTTCCACAGCTGGGTCCGACACAATCACTAATTAGTAGCATAGTATTTCAGGCCTTTTCAGAGCTGTGAGAAAGCTTAATTTTTTTTGCTTCCGAAGTATTCTTAAATTAAACACTTTTAAATTGTAATAATGGGATTTTTCAATGCTGCTCCACCCATGGCCTTTACGCATGTATTTAGCAAGTACAAGTTCTTCTCTCGGATCCACACATGCTGTCCTGCCATTGAGGTGGGAAGTTTGCAAAGCAACTGCCTTTCCTAGAGCTCCCTGGCTCTCTGGCTGGGACAGATGGACTGTGGGAGGAAGGCTCTGCTCAGCCATGAAGCAAGTGTGAGCCAAGGACCATCTGGGGTTCCACCAAATACAGAGCCTATAGGGCTAGCCGCCGGTGATTCACTCTCCTAGCAGCTCCCCTGTGGGCCTTGTAAAGATGGGGGAAGGTTAGGGTTTCTCACAAGCTTCTTTCAAGGGTGAAGAGATTTGGTTACCCAGAAGTCTGTGGGCATGTCTGTGGCAGTTGGTAACAACAGCTCCCACAGTGGTTTGGGCCAGAGCTCTCAACCCCCCCTTCAGGCTACTGGAGAGGGCCTATGTAATTTTAACTTACAGTCTTGTCTTTCTCCTGGCCAGTTTGATTCCCCGTCTTTTGGGGTGCTAACCAAGGAATCTCTTCCTGTATGATTCTTGTGTGGATTTCCAATGGGCGACTCCAACATCTGAGGGTCACACAAATAACAAGGGCAGGAAGAAGAGCTTTTTGCAAAGCGGGCATCCCACGGTGGGATGGCAGTTTTAACAGGAATGACCCAGCATTTCAGTCTGGGTTGTAGACGGGCACTCTGCCTTCCCCGATTCTTGGCACACAGAAACCTCCAAACATGCTGACGACTGAATGCTCAGACGCGGCTAGAGACCCTTTTGTAAACATTGGTGCTAGCTGGATAATGTAATTACCGAGAGGAGCTTAATTCATCTTCAGAGTCTGATTTTAAAAATGAGTGGATTTCAGGCCCCGAGGACTAACTAATGTTGCTGTTCTCAGATCTATGAGGTTATATATATATATATATATATATATATATATATATATATATATATAAATATGATTTAAGTTTAGATGAACTTGGAATAGTGTTCGGTGTGATGCTAGGAAGTCATGCTTGCTATTCATAAAATCTCTGAGGCTCTGGAAGAGCAGCATCGCTTATTGCTTAGATGAGGCTGCCCGAAATGTTCATGTCATCACAGGCATGCCATCACAGGCATGTCATCACAGGCATGCCATCACAGGCATGTCATCACAATCATGTCATCACAGGCATGCCATCACAGGCATGTCGTCACAAGCATGTCATCACAAGCCTGTCATCCTTGTTTTTTGGGCTTAAGAAATTATTCTTTTTAAGGGGAAGTGTAATGATTTAGCATACAACTCTGGACTGAAATTCTTTTGTCTTTTGGCTGTATCATTTAATCTTGGACATGTGCATTCATTCCCTCTATATATTGGAATTTTCATTTGAAAACAGGAGATGGAAATAGTTTTTTACTTCTTGTAGTTTTTGTTAGGATCAAATAAGAAAACATATAATCTGTGAGGTGACTCAGAGACTTGCCTCCAACTCTGATGACCTGGGCTCAAACTCCAGAGATGCAACTCAACTCCCACAAGTTAGTTGCCTTTTGATGCCCACACACATCCTATGCCAATACATATGCACAAAATCATACACACAAAATACATAAATGTTATTAAATGGCTTTTAGAATATAATAAAGGTAACACATATGCATATACAAATCAGTTAGCTGTGTCTTACCATTAGCTGTTCTACAGACACTCATTCAACAGCTTCTACTTACTTTGTATGACTGGCCTTCCGGATTTACTTAAAAAGATGATTCCATGTCAGGTTAATTTTGGCTTTAAGTAAAGGAAATCCCATTCCCCGTGGCTCAAAAGTCAGGAAACTTATTATTCTATCGAGATAAAGTGGACTCCAGAAGCAGTGGATGGATTGTTTATCTCTGTTCCCCCATCACAGGGTAGATGTTATTCACAGGGGGTTCCTTCATGGCCAAGCTTCATTACTATATGGAAATTTGTAGTAAAAAGAGACAGGCAGAGCATTAAGTTTTTGCCTGACAGAGTACTTGTGATGTATGTCCTTTCTGACAGCACATGGCTGCCAGGAGATGCTCTGGGCTGGTTGGTTTAACCCTAAGTTCTGTTTCTTTGAAAGCGAGCAGGAGATCCTGAGTATTATGCCCTGGCCAGCTTTCTTAAATATAGGCCAGTGGAGTTGGAGATGGGTAGAGATGTGAGCAAACGTTGGTGTTCTCAAGAAGAGAGGAAAAGGTTGTTGAGGTCTCTGAGGGCCATACAAACAGCAACAGCGGGAAGAAGAGCTCTTTGCCAGCTCTGTTGCACAAGTGTGCTGCCAGTTTCATGTTAGCTTGACACCAGCTAGAGTCACTTGGGAAGAGGGAGCCTCAGCTGAGGACATTTCCCCAGCAATTGGCCTGTGGGCAAGACTTAGGTGCATGCTCTTCATTGATGATTGACGTGGGAGGGTCTAGCTCACTGTGGGTGGTGGGTGGCGCCACTCCTGGGTTGGCCTAAGATAACAAGCAGCACCAGCCAAGGGGAAGAACTCAGTAAGCTGCGCCCTCCATGGCTGCTTCCTTAGCCCTCGCCTCCAGTTTCATGCCAGTTTTTTCTGCCATGATCTCCTGCACTGTCGGAGTGTTATCTGGAATTGTCACCCTTCCCCAGGGTTGCTTTTGGTCATGGTGACTTTAGCACAGCAATAGAGACGCTGACTGAGATAGTGAAGGTCTGAAAAGCTGCTAGTCACATGTTACCCTATGTCTCTCTGCAATTCTCATGGTAAGTTATGAAATAGTCTTCTCTCTTAAAGGTTAATTAATTGTATTATCTGTATTTCAGAAAACGTCAGCAAACTCAAGAAACTTGAATATTTGAATTTAGCGCTAAACAACATTGAAAGAATTGAAAATTTGGAAGGTAAGAACTTTCCTGTTTTGTTCATGAGGTAAATAAAAACTTGAAAGTAGCTTTACACAGTACTGTAGATACACAAAGTATATTTTAAGACTATATTTTACATAAATCTTGCTCATCCCAGTGCTTATAAAAATTCAAACAATAAAGTGATATGTAAATTCAAAGACAGAAATGTATCTCATCCCTTCCTAGCTTAGTCTCCTTGCTAGAGGCAGTTGTGGTTGACATCTTGGGATATGTGACACGATTCTCTCTTGTTTTGCTTTCTATCATCATGTTGTGCATGCGTGCGTGTATGCATGCGTGCGTGTGTGAGTGTGTGAATGTGTGAGTGTGTGGTGTGTGTGAGTGTGTGTGTGTGAGTGTGTGTGTGTGACCTCGTGTGGTTGTCAGAGAACAACTTGTGGGAATAGGTTCTCTCCTTCCACATTATGGGTTCTGGGGACTCTAACTCAGGTTTGGCAGCAGGTATTGAGCGCTCTCTCTCTCTCTCTCTCTCTCTCTCTCTCTCTCTCTCTCTCTCTCTCTCTCTCTCTCTCTCTCTCCCTCTCTTTCTCCCTCTGATCCTTAGGAGAAGTATTTTGAAAATTAATTTCCTTCTGGAAATTGCCTTGATGTCGTGATGTTCAAGCAAAGGAACTGGAGGTTGTGCAGTCCCATAAATATGTAGGGTTGGGGTTGGCCGAGCCTTTGTCTGCAGATGGACATTTGGGGATTCCTATACTTTGCTAAAATAAGCTGGTGATGGTGTACAACGTTTATTTTTCATTCCAACCACAGATCTCTGTCCCACCCTACTCCTACCCCCTTGCTTCCGCCCACCACACCGCACCTCCCCCTGGTCCACCCCCACTCTACTGCTGCTCAGAGTTGAGGGCTCCCATGAGGAGTCAACATAGTCTGACAAATAGGTTGGGGCCTTCTCCCATGCATTAAAGATGAGCATGGTATCCCACCCTAGGGATACTCAAAGTATTTATTTCTTTAATTGTTGTTTTATTTAAATTAAAAATAATCTTACTTTACATACCAATCAATCCCAGTTTTCCCTCCCTCCCGTCATCCTCCCACTCCCCCACCATCTTCCCATCCCTCCCCCATCCACACATGGGGGATCTTCAAAGTCTGTCACATCATTTGGGGCTGGACCCAGCCCCCCCCACCTATATCTGGGCTGAAAGAGTATCCCTCTATAGAGAATGGGCTCCAGAAAGCCAGTTCATGCACTAGGGATAGATACTGGTTCCATTGCCAGAGGCCCCCCTGCAGGTTCCCCAGCTGTCAGTCTAGAGTCTGTGAGCTCCCACTTGCTCAGGTCAGCTGTCTCTGTGGGTTTCCCCAGCCTGGTCTTGACCCCTTTGCTCATCACTCCTCCCTTTCTGTACCTGGATTCCAGGAGTTCCGCAGGAGTTAGCTGTGGGTGTCTGCTTCTGCTTCCATCAGCCACTGGATGAAGGCTCTATGATGGCATATAAGGTAGTCATCAGTGTCATTATCGGGAAGGGCATTTAAAGTACCCTCTCCACTATTGCTTAGATTCTTAGTTGGGGTTATTCTTGTGTATTCCTGGAAATTTCCCTAGTGCCAGGTTTCTCATTAAATCCATAATGGCTCCCTCTATCAAGATTTATCTTTACTTGTTCTCCTTCTCTGTCCTTCCTTATTCCTAATGTTCTCCTCCCCCCCTCCTCTCCTCTCTCTCCTACCTTCCCGCTCCCTACCACCATGCTCCCAATTTACTCAGGTGATCTTGTCCCTTTCCCCTTCTTCAGGGACCATGTATGACTTTCTTAGGTTCCTCCTTGTTTCCTAGCTTCTCTGGCACTGTGGATTGTAGGCTGGGTATCTTTTGCTCGATGTCTAATATCCACTTATGAGAGAGTACATGCCATGTTTGTCTTTCTATGTCTGTGTTACCTCACTCAGGATGGTTTCTTCTAGTTCCATCCCCTTGCCTTAGAATTTCAAGATTCCATTGTTTTTTCACCTGAGTACTACTTTTGCTTATGTAACACATTTTCTTCATTCATTCTTTGATTGAGGGGAATCTAGGTTGCTTTCAGGTTCTGGCAATTACAAATAATGATTGTATGCCCATAGTTGAACAGATGTCCTTGTAGTATGAGTGTGTATCTTTGGGTATATGCCTAAGAGTGGAATTTCTGGGTCTTGAGGTAGATCAATTCCCATTTTCCTGAGAAATATCCATAGTGATTTAAGTACAAGTTTGCACTCCCACCAGTAATGGAGGAGTGTTCCCTTTTCTCCACATCCTATCCAGCACATACTGTCATTGGTGGTTTTGATTTTAGCTATTCTGATAGGTGTACAACGCTGTCTCAGAGTTGTTTTGATTTGCATTACCCTGATGGCTAAGGATGTTGATCACGTTCTTAAGTGCCCTTTGAGATTCCTCTGTTGAGAATTCTCTATTCAGTTCTGTACCCCATTTTTAAAAATGGATTATATGGTGTTTTTGTGACTAGTTTCTTGAGTTCTTTAGATATTTTGGAGATCAGCCCTCTGTTAGATGTGGGTTTGGTGAAGGTCTTTTCCCATTCTATCTTGTTGACCATGTTCTTTGCCTTACAGAAGCTTCTCAGTTTCAGGAGGCCCCATTTACTAATTGTCGATCTCAGAGTCTGTGCTACTGGTGTTATGTTCAGGAAGCAGTCTCCTGTGCCAGTGTATTCAAGGGTACTTCCGATTTTTCTCTTCTAAGTGGTTCAGTGTGGCCGGATTTACGTTGAGGTCTTTGACCCATTTGGGCTTGAGTTTTGTGCATGGTGATAGGTATGGGTCTATCTCAGTGCTTACCCTTCTCCAGTCCCTCTTTGTGCATGTCCTCCCCCGACCACTGCGTTTTATTTAAACTTGAAATTCCTAGGCTTAAATATGCAGATTTTGAAATATACTGCCAAATTTTTCTTCTGAAGCATTGCATTAACTTCTCTTTGCACCTGGTGGTCCACACGAGTGTCATTTCTGTACATCTTCATGAAAGCCTCCCTCCCACACACTGGGATATACTTGGGAACATGTCAGTGCTCATCACTGTTTGCTTTCAAGTTCTGTATTAGTATTGATCCGGCTATGGTGTTCAGATGTATATGGAATGTTGATATTTCTTCTTAGGTGAATTCTAAAGTGTTTCCTATTGTTTAGTCCTCTTTTTTGATTGGTTTGCCATTTTATATATTCTGGATCTTAAGCCATTGCTACATGATACAGATATTTTCCTTTTATATACTGCTTTTTCATGTATTTCTGCTATGACACTGGTACGCAGAAGTTTTATACTATAATAGACTAAGCTATCAATCTCTACTTTCACAGTTTTTAAATACAGTCTATTTGTGTTGAGTTCTTCTTTTAGTTGCTTAATCTTTCACACATCCTCTATAATCCATCTTGAGTTTACCATGAATCAAAAGATAATCTTCTTAAAATGTATCATGGTTGAAATACTTGGACCATGCTTTAAAATTGAAATATAAATTATATACCATAATATTCATGAGGGTGAATGCACAATTCATCAGTTTTTAGTACACTTCTATGTTCTAGAATATTTCCATCATGGAAAAAGATACCTCTTATCATTTAGCATTTATGGCACATGTGCCCCCAGGGTCAGATCAGTATCACCAACACATGTGTTTTAATGAATGCAACTCTTTTCTGTATTTCTGGCAGCAGCACTGTGGATATATTTCCTACCTCTGAACATTTCTTCAGGACATTGTTGACTTTGACCTCACAAACCCCAAACATAGACATTTGGGTCCTTGCTTCTTTGAGAGGTGGTAGGGGAGGGAATCCTGTGTGGCTCCCATTTACTTTCTGTAACATCTGCTGCTGGTGCTCCCTGCTTGTGCTCCCTGCTGGTGCTCCCTGCTGATCCTCCCTGATGGTGCTCCCTGCTGATCCTCCCCGATGGTGCTCCCTGCTTGTGCTCCCTGCTGGGCCTCCCTGCTGGTGCTCCCTGCTGATCCTCCTTGCTGGTGCTCCCTGCTGATCCCCCCCTGCTGCCGGTGTGGGTCATCTTAGTCAGGTGTGATTCCATCTGGCTTGCTACATTAGCAGTGAATACTTCCCTCAAATTGAATTTCTATCTGCGGATGTGGTGGACTCACCAGAAGGGGTGGCTCTTTGGAAGCAAGATTGGAGTAGCTCTTCCACGGTACCAGGTCCCCGTGGATGTCGTTCTAGGTCAGCGCACCACGTAGCCTACCTAGTGGCTTGTTTGTGGCTGTGCGGTTTACTTCTGTGCCTGCAAAAGCTCCATCCACAACACCAACAGCTCTCAGGCTGGTTCTGACATTTCTATATGAATTTGAGCTACTCTCCAGTGTCTCCATTTCAACCCAAACGAAGCCACTTAATGTTTTTCTGTGTGGTAGACCGTCTGCTGACAAAAATCTCAGTTTTTGTTACTTGTAATAATAATAATAATAATAATAATAATAATAATAATAATAATAATAATAATAATAGTATTTTGAGGGGATTTCCTAGATAAGAGTTCTTAACATTTCTTTTTCTCCTTGATCCTTTTTCTTTGTTCCTCTTTCTCTCTTATTTTCTGTCATCCTTCCTCTCTCCCTCTAACCACCTGCATCTCTTTGCCATGGCCTCTCCCTCTAACCACCTGCATCTCTTTGCCATGGCCTCTCCCTCTAATCACCTGCATCTCTTTGCCATGGCCTCTACTCTGTTAATTGGATTTGGTTATGCCAAGCTGACATCCCGTGCCTCTTAAGCTGCACATCTATTTAAACTAGTTCGTCTTTTTATTCTGCAGCCTGAGACATCTCACCAGATTTAAATCCCAGAATAATTATGCTATGTTAATTCTTTCCCTTTCTGGAATTCATTTTATTTGCAATTAACCCTTTGGCTTGGCCACTTCTCACTAACTTCCGTATTGACTGCTGCTTCCCTGTAGTGCTGTTGTTATGTGACGGGTGGAATATCGTCTAGTGTATGTGTTTATGCAA